TCACAAAAACAGTTTGTTTAGAAGGTATGACATCAAACAAAGTCACAGAAACAGTTTGTTTAGAAGGTATGACATCAACTAAGTTCACAGAAACAGTTTGTTTAGAAGGTATGACATCAGACAAAGTCACAGAAACAGTTTGTTTAGAAGGTATGACATCGGACAAAGTTCACAAAAACAGTTTGTTTAGAAGGTATGACATCGGACAAAGTTCACAAAAACAGTTTGTTTAGAAGGTATGACATCAGACAAAGTCACAGAAACAGTTTGTTTAGAAGGTATGACATCAAACAAAGTCACAGAAACAGTTTGTTAAGAAAGTATGATATATACAAGTCTCATTGTTTTTACTCTGTATTTTGGGATCAAGTTAATTGTTATTTTATAAATGTTTTGTGTGTAGATTGTGGGGACAGGTTCTGCTGACATTAAGGGGAAGCCTCAAATAAATGCAGCAAGTTGGAATCCTCATCAGAATTGTAACCTTGTAGCAGCTGCTGTTGATACCAGTGTTCGTGGATGGGATCTGCGTACCATGCAGTGAGTGTTCTGTTTGGATATTTCAAGTATGTAAGAGACAATTTTGATCTCTTATGTTACATTAGTTATTTATGATATTATTTTCAGATCTTTATTGTGTTGATCTTTCTTATCCAACAGACAGTCCTGGGTGATTGAGAGTGCTCATGGACAGCTTGTGCGGGAGCTCGACTTTAATCCAAATCGTCAGTATTTTCTCGTAACTTGTGGTGATGACTGCCATACGAAGTTTTGGGATATTCGCAGTCCTGATACGCCAGTTCTCGTTCAGTCACATCACTCTCACTGGTAAGGAGAGCTTCTTCAACACAAATATTATTTTTTTTAGTTTCATTTTTAGGAACATTAAAAAAAAAACTAAAGTGCTTTCAGAAATTGTAACTTCATTTTTGAAGAATGAATAATTGTCCGAAAGTGCTTGGCTTTAAGTTTGTCATTTTGATTTTTGTAATCTAAATGCTTCTTTTTAGTTATAATGAACATTTTTAAATACACCAGAGTAATCTTCTAGTATTTTACATATATGTGTGTGTGATTTCTGTTTATAATTTCATCAAAAGATCCTAGATACAAACTGTAACTATACAAATATGTATAGTTTTGGTGCAGCTGTACAAGTTTGTCTCATCAGAAACACGTACCTTTCTTTTTATTAAGTTACCTGATTTCTCCTGATCTAGAAAAATGCAGTTATTGGTACAGTTACGTGATTTATATTGATACAGAATGTTTGTAGTTACGTGTATGACTATATATATCTTCTATTAGTGAGATGCTTCAGTTTGTGTGATGCGATTACCAGAACATTTCTACGGAGTTTATTGTAAGTAGGCACGAGTAGACAAGAGATTTGGAAAGAATGGAGTCGTGGGTGGGGCTACCCTGGTAGGTTTGCAAAATATATTGATGTCTTGGCAAATCAAAAGGATGAAAGTTTCTTATTTTGTATTATTTTAAGTTTGAGTTTCTAATTCTTTATCCACTGCAGACATTGTATGGTAGGTGTAATAAAATATAAACTGAGCAATAAGATAAGAAGACATGCCATATGACATAAGAAAAAGCATATTTGGCTTTTTTATATGATTTCTTTAGAATTAAAACATAAATAACATTAAAATTTTAATTATAACTTAAGTTGTGATGCCAATTTTATTGACATACATTGACAATAAAGCTGTGTGATTAAATTTTGAAATTAATTCTCTTAAATATCATCATGCCCTTTGACCCATTTGTTGAGAGATGGTTGATATGATCTTGACTGAGAATTTAAGGCCAATGAAATTATTTCTAATATTCACTTATTGAAGAGTTCAATACAAAAAGATCCAAACAGACAGATAGTTGTTTAGATAATTATTTGATATCATTAAAAAGATATTAACTCTGAGTTAGTTATTTTAATGTTTTGCTTGTGTTTTAAGGTTTGACAGATTTTTTGTTAACAATACTACAAAATATTACGTGATATTAAAAATTTATCATTATAAGTGAACAGTCAAGACCAGACTTACTACTTATACATCAGTAACTGTTGCATTAAACTTTGAATATTTTCATCCAAATTTCATTATAAAAACAACTATTCCTTTCAGTGAACAGTCAAACCAGATTTACTACTTATATATCAATGACTGTTCTATTAAACTGAATACCACTAACAAGTTTCATCCGATTCT